TGGCTCAATACTACTCTGTATGTATAGCCTGAAATCCCTCAGGGCAAAGGGGAAAGATTGCCAAATTCACGCCTGGCTTGGAGACATTTCAATTCCACCCATCCAGACCTCAGGAATGGCTTTGCTCGTATGGGGGAGAGGGGGATATAGGTACCATAATAGAAACATTGGGTTCAATATTTTTAAACAATCAAAAGTGATCCCCAGGATCGGCAGTGTGACTCAGTGGCAGAGTTCTTGCTCACTCTATGGAAGTCCCTGGACTCAGTCCCCAGCAAAACAAGACAATATTTAACAATGTTTTTAAAAGTCTCAATAAGTCGAGGTTATCTTTGCAGGTAACTCAACTGACTATAGATGGGCCATGGTTGTTCCTGCTACACTGAGACACTGGGGAGGAAGAGCGCGTGAGGCCAGCTTGGCTACACAGAGAAACTCTGCTGAATGTCAGGAATGAAGGGAATTTTAAGGAGAAAACCAAAATTTCAACACTTGACAATATGTCATCCGTAAAGTACAGCATCCAATGAAACTCAGCTTGCAAAAAAAAAAAAAAAAGACAATGAAATGGCTTCTGACCCACATCTGGGAGAAATGATGATACAAGGCCAAAAGCGGCAGACGTAATGGAATCCCTAACCCGGGGTGTTGTAGTGGCTAGTTTTTAAGTCAACTTGACCCAAGTTAGAGCCCTCTGAGAGGAGGAAGTCTCAAATGAGAAAATATTTCTATAAAGGGGCCATAGACATGCCTGTAGGGCAGTGTTTCTCAACCTGTGGATCAGGATTGCGCCCCTTGGGAGGTGGAAAAGCCCTTTCAGAAGGGTCACCTAAGACCATTGAAAAACATAGATATTTACATTACAATTCATAACAGTAGCAAAATTGCAGCTGTGAAGTAGCAATAAAAATAATTTTATGGTTGGAGGTCAGCACAACATGAGGGACTGCATAAGGGTTGCAGAATCAGGAAGGCTGAGAACAAGAACCACTGCTTTGTTACTAGTGTTTGATGTGTAAGAGAGCCAGCTATCGTGGGTGGTGCCACCCCTGGGCTAGTGGTCCTGGGTTGTAGAAGAAAGCAGACTCAGCAAGCCATGAGGAGCCAGTCAGGAAGGAGCACTCCTCCATGGCCTCTGCGTCGGTTCCTTCCTCTAGATCCCTGCCCTGCTTGAGTTCCTGTCCTGACTTCCTTCAAGGATGAGCACTGCTGTGGAGATTTAAACCAAATAAAGCCCTTCCTCTACAAGTTGCTTTTGGTCATAGTGTTTCATCACGGGAGTAGGGACTCTAACTGAAACAGGCATAAAACAGTTACTAGGAGTACACTCAAAGGCTAAAAGTAGCAGGCTCTGTGGACACCTGCCTGCACTCCCTGCCCCTGGGTCATCTGAGCCCTTTCTTATGCAGATCAGAACTACCTGCCCAGGGGTACCACCATCCTCTCATATCAAGCACTAATCACACAAATGTCCTCCACAGAATTTCCTGCAGGGCAGTTTGTTAATTGATGTTCCCCTTACCCAGGTATAGCTAGGTTTGTGTCAAGTCAGCAAAAACAAAAAAGAAACCAGCACACCAGTAAACACCCGATGTCACTGTCTTATTATGAGATGTGACATCTCTGGTGTCGGGGAAGAACTGATGTGTTGATTCATCGTGGGACTAAACAGAATCGGACCTGCTCAGACACATCTGGGTGAGATGGGCTCCTCGGGTTTTATTGATTTGAATTAACTGCCTGCATTTGCTCCCCACCCCAGAGTAAGTGCTAGGCATAGTCCCAAGAGAATACATTTTCTTTCAGTGCCAAACTTCAACTCAGCCTGCAAGCGAAGGAAGAGGGCGTGCAAGGACAGTTGCTTTCCACTACTGGCGCCATTATCCGTGACATCATATTTCTCACGCACACACAAGTAGCTGTGCACAAGCTGTAGCGTTTCGTAGCAACACTTCTGACAACCAGTAGTCTCTGAAGAAGATGCCAGAACATCAAATGAAACTCCAGTCAAACTGTTTGCTGCGGCCTTAGTAAGGTTCAGGCTAAAGTGTGTCAGAAGGGACTAAAGGCTGCCATAGATTGTCTCCTGGGAACAAAACAGAAAACAACTGAAAATACCCCTGGGATTGTAGCTTGTTCTTAAAATTCCTGTAACCAAGTGGAGTGTGGGTGTGGGGCAGGAAGATACTAAATGTAAAATACGTTCAGACTGGAGAAAAATGTAAAGAGAAAAAAAATGAAGAAAACTCATTAGAGAAGGGGTTGTTTTTTGTGTGTGTGATTTCTGGGTAGGGGAAGAGAAAATGATTGACATATTCTTTTTTTGAAGAAAAAATATTGTTTTTATTTTATGTGTATGAGTATTTTGTCTGCATGTATGTATGTGTACATGTGTGTTGGTGCCCACAGAGGCCAGAAGATACCCTTGAACCAGAGTCACAGTTGGTTTTTCTGGGAACTGAACCAGGTCATCCGCAAGAGCAGCTGGTACTTTTCATTGCTGAGTCTTCTCTCCTTTTTGACATATTGATATATTCGTGCTCAGACAGTTTCCAACGGTATCATTTTATCTCACTGGGATGGAAGGGCAAGGAATAGAGGTCCTTTCCCAGAAGGTTATTCAACACGGAAACAAAAGGTACTTGGAGTTCTTATCTTTGAGTTCAAAGTATTTAGGACTATTCTGAATACTAAGATGAGAATCAAATAGTGAATAGTTGGTTTCTGTGGTCTAAAAGGGAAAGCAATTAAAGAACATGATCCAAAGGCCTGAAAACGTGGAATAAAGCTCTGATTAGTGAGAACAAAGTGATAATAGACTTGTGTACAAAACTACAGCAAATGGTGTTTCCCAACATTCCCATTCCCCTCAAAAGGAGGAATCAGTCTCGCACTTGGCACATAAGTGTCGAAGAAGCAGCAGGCTGTGTTCCCGCCCAGATCCTGGCTAGCTTACCCCCGAAATAATTACACAGAAACTGTATTCTTTTAAACACTGCCTGGCCCATTAGCTCTAGCCTTTTACTGGCTAACTCTCACATCTTGATTAACCCATTTCTATTAATGTGTGTAGCACCACGAGGTGGTGACTTACTGGGAAGATTCTAACCTACGTCCATCTTGGGCCGGAGCTTCATCGTCTGCCTGACTCTGCCTTCTTTCTCTCACAGTTCTGTTCTGTCTACTCCACCTATCTAAATTCTGCCCTATCAAAAAGCCACGGCAGTTTCTTTATTAACCAATGAAAGTAACACACAGACAGATGACCCTCCTACATCACATAAGGGTACAAATATTTGTTAAAAATGGGTGAAAACAACCAGAAGTGTAAATTTTAAAACTATTTAGCCTTGTCAAATATATAGATCTACCACTGAACAAAGTATTTTATTTTAGTTAAAATAGATGGCATTCTCCATCAATCATAAATCTATAGCTGTGACCAGAATAGGATGGGGTCCTTTCACTTTAAAATGCCAGGACAGAAATATAATCAGATTTGTAAAATCAGCTCTTGCCCTAGGTTGGGGGTCTCTCACATAAATCCCTCTCCTCATGTCTCCTTGGTTCTTCTCTGTAAGGAGACTCTGTAATGCCTTCCCATTTGTTCCAAGAACTATAAGGAACAACCAAATAAATGCTTCAATAAGCAAAGCACTTTTCACACGTCATATATACAAGAGAGTTATCTGCATTCGTTGCTAGGCAGAGAAATATTCAAACATCTTGTCGGAGGAATCTCATCCATTCGGGTTATTTGGTTCCACCAGCTGATGGAGGTGCTGGCCCACTTCCAGGTGGAAATGGTGATCTGTGTGGTTATTGTATTTTGTTGAAAATACTTTTGGATGTTACTCTCACTAGAATGTTAATTTAAATAACTTTAAATAATACATACATCAAAACAATGAATTTATTTTTAAACGCCCACATTCTAATTTTGCTGCCAAGCTTCTCAGGGGTGGGTAATGTATGCAGCACGTGGGAACTGAATAGTCAGTCAAGCTGGTAGATTATGGAAACCAAAGGGTTTTTTTTTTCTTTTCTTTTTTGTTTTTCTTTCTTTTTTTTTTTTTTTTTCCTCCCCAGGACAGGGTTTCTCTGTAGCTTTGGAGCCTGTCCTGGAACTCGCTGTGCAGACCAGGTGGACCTTGAACTCCCAGAGATCCGCCTGTCTAGATTAAAGGCGTGAGCCACCACAGGCCGGCCAAAGGTTCTTCTTGACTTTCATCTCCTGGGCTGGGGAAAAGATGCAGATGTTAAAAGCACTGGCTGTTCTTCCAGAGGACACGGTTTCAGGTCCCAGCACCCACATGGCAGCTAACAAGTGTCTGTACCCCAACCACTGGGGATCTGATGCCGTCTTCTGGCCTCTGTAAGACACCAGGCACACGTGCGGTGCACAAACATACATGCGGAGAAAATACCCAAACAAAGTTCATCCATACTACCCATACTACCGCCTGGAACCATGAGTCTCGGCGGAGGGTGTCCAGGTTGAATGAAATCCACGGAGCACGAGGTTGAGGTGAAACAGCAGCTTGTATATTTTTCTGCTGGGGCTAGCTTTTATACCATGGCACCAAATGGGGAGGGGGCTGCGAAGGGACTGTCACCTGACCCAAGGAGGGACTCTCACCTGACCCCAGTAGGGGTCAAGGACTGATCACGTGCACTCAAACTTCCTCATCCAACTCCAGGAGCAGAGGGAAGTTATGATTCTTTGCAGATAAGCACCTCAAATAAGGGCAGGGAAATATAACTCGGGATAGCAATTCCCACACCATACTAAGTTCATCTCCCCATGTTGGGATTAAAGCTGTGTGCCACCACCACCTGGCCATAGCTCTGTTTCTTAAAGGTCCTACCACTTCCACAAAGTGGCATAGGGTGGAAACCAAACAACCTTCAATAAACAAGCCTTTGGGGAGCATCCAAGATCCAGACTACGGTAGTGTATAAACGTGCCCAAGTGGGGCGTGAGTGGGCCCTAAGCTGCTATGGCACTATGATGCTGATACTGACCTGTGATGCAATGTTGTCAGGTTTTGTTTGTTTTTAATGTGACTCAGCTAACTTCATGGTTGATTTTGGCGTTCGGCTCCTTTCAAAGAGAAGAGAAAGAGAAAGATTGTTCTTCTGTTTGGGGTTTTGGCTTCTGATTCCTAAATATCTATGTATTTTGGTAAGTTTACGATTACTTTTTCCGTTTTTATTTTTCAGGCAAGATTTCACTGTGTGGGCTAGGCTGTCCTGAAACTCACAACCCTGTAGTTTACATCTCCTAAGAGTCCAAACTGCACCACCACGCCCGGCAGACCAGGGTTTCCTTAAACACCTGCTAAACTAAGCCCAACCGGCGTGAACGCTGTACCTAGTTTATGATCTCACACATTGTAAGGTTCTGTTCATTGTTTTTCCAGCTTATTTTTTTTTATTGTTCAGATTGGGTAATTTAATTTCTGATGTTCTGTCTTCAGATTCATTGATTTTATTTTCTATGACCTCTACGTCTTGCTCAGGAGCTCACTGAAGGAAGAGGATTTTTTTGTTTGTTTGTTTGCTTGTTTGTTTGTTTTGGTGTTTTGAGATAGGGTTTCTCTGTGTAACAACCCTGACTATCCTGGAACTCTATTTTTTAGAGCAGGCTGGCCTTGAACTCACAGATATCTGCCTCCCTGAGTAGAGAATAAAGGCATAATGATGGAAGTTTTATTCTGATTGTCTATTTTCAATGTCTAGAATTTCTATTTGTATTTTGTTGTTGTTTTGTTGTTTTTCTGTTTTTGTTTGTTTGTTTTGTTTTGAGACAAGTTTTCTCTGTGTAACAGCTCTAGCTGTCCTGGAACTCACTCTGTAGACCAGGATGGCCTTGGATTCAGAGATCCCCCCCCCCCTGCCTCTGCCTCCTGCATGCTGGAATTAAAGACAGGCACCATATCATGTGGCTCTATTTGGCTTTTTAAACTTTTTGATTTTTGTTTATTTTATATGTCTGAATGCTTTACCTTCATGTATGTATGTATGTTCACCATGTGACCGTGTGCATGACCGGTGCCCTCCAAAGACTGAAGGGCATTGGACCCCCTGGAACCGTTGCTACAGATGGCTGTGAGCCACCGTGTGCGTGCTAAGAACCCAGTCTGGGTCCTTTGCAAGAGAAGGAATACTCTTAATTGCTGAACCTTCTCCCTAACCCCTGTTTGGCTTCTTTTCATAGCAACTATTTCTGCCTAAAATTGTTACTTTTTCATTTGCTTTAAGTGGGCTTTGGTTACTTATTGAAAGTATTTTTGTGATGACAACTCTTAAATCCTTGTCCCAGAATTCTAGCCTTTGTATAATCTTGAAACTGGTCTTTGTTAGCTGTCTTTTCTTGTTTTCCTGGTTCTTTGTTTTGCTATTGTTGTCAGTTGGTTTCCGGTGTTTTGTTTTGTTTTGTGTTTTGAGACAGTATTTTGTCTTGTTAGGTAGCTCAGACTGGCCTGAAACTCCTGGTCATTCTTCCTCAGCCTTGCAAGTACTAGGATTACAAGGAAGTGCCACCACGCCTGACTTTTCCTGACTCATGATGTTAGTGACGTCAGCTGTACCTTGAGCACCCTGCTATTATGCTGAGATCCTGGATGAGATTGAGCTCTTCTGTGTTAGCGGGCCGTCCGAGCTAGCACCAGGGCAGGAGGATGGTGACATGTTGTTATTGTCAGGTGATGTGGAAGTACAGTTTGCTTGTTTGGCTTCCTTTGAGGCCCAAAAGCAGAAGAATATCACATTGTTCCTGGGCAGGGTAAATTCAAGTCCCCTCCCTGAGGCCTCTGCCACCAGATTATAGCATAGTACAGTACAGTATGCTCTATTGCTATATACAGTATAATTCCTCTCATTGTGAGAAAACACCCTGACCAAAAGCAACTTGGAGAGGACAGGTTTGATTTCATCTTACAAGGCTCAGGTCATCCTCCATCCTTGAAGGGAGTCAGAGTCGAAACTTGAGACAGAAACTGAAAGAAACGGGGACCATGAAGGAACGTTGCTTATTGGCTCGCTCTCCATGGCTTGCTTAGGACCACCTGCCCAGAGGTGGAATCACCCACAGTGGGCTGAGCCCTTCTACATCAATCATTAATCAAGAAAATATCAGCCAGATTCGCCTACAGACGATCTGTCAAAAGACAGTTTCTCAGTTGAGGTTCCTCTTCCCGGACAACTCCAGTTTGTGTCAGATTGGCAGAAATGACAACAACCAGGGCATTTAAATAGGATTTACTAGCTTTCCGCCTGTCGCCTCTGATACCACCCCATGGGGAACAGCACCTAATCAATGCTGGCCCACATTAACTAACATCTGCGGGGGTGGGGGGTTGCAGGAGGCTCATTTCTGCCAAGTGCCTATAAAAGCCCTGACTCGCCCCTGGATTTTCCTTTGTGGCAGCTGGGCAGGAACATGAATTTAGGTTCTTCGCTCTGCTTTGCTGTTGTGGTTAGCGACAGGGCACATTTAACTAGCTAGAGTAGGCAGCAGTTCACACTGAGCTGGTCTGCAAGGCCACCCCGTTCCTTGTCCTGCAGCTAAAGAGAACTGGCTTTTCTGAGGGGTGTTTGAACCTGCCAGCATGCTTACACTGCCTGCTTCCTAACACCCCTCTAGATTTTATAGGAGGGGAGGGGGGCTCCAGACCACGGTGCTCCTTTAGTTAAATTCATCTTTTCTCTAGCACCGTTTTACACAAAATGACCAGGAGACTCAGGAAGATGTATGTCTACTCCTTTGTGGCTTGGAACCAGAAGTGCTGTTCAATTAGGATGATTTTTGCCATCATTTTCCTTTCCTTTCTCTGCCCCACCCCCAACTCCATGCTAGCTTGGTTTGTTTGTTTGTTTGTTGTTTTCCATTCTCACTGTTGCTTCACCACGAAGCAGCAATTCCTAGGGCAACAGCAGATACTGAAGCCATATTCTTTTTATATCTACCACGCACAACCCTCAAGTTCAGTCCACCAAGACTGGGTAAAGGATTCTCCATCTAACCCGATTCTCCATCATGATGGCTTTGCTAACTTTCAAGGTTTGTTTGAACCTGACACTCGAGCCCTTGCAAATGAATTGAGGGCTAGGGTAAGGGAAAAGGCCTGCCACCTCTGCATTTTTTCAAATGTACTCTGGGACAAGCAACACAGGCACTTTTTGGCCTGTAACTCTCTTCTGCTGACCCAGGGTTCCAACAGCAGTCGGGACTGCCACTTACAGGGGCACAGTTTGTGCATTGCACAAAGGCATCCAGCCAGTAGGACAAAAGGGAGCTAAGATTCGGCCCGTGTTCTGCTTGCCAAGTCATGTACCCAGAGGACTGCATCACCCAGAGGGGGTGCCTCTTTCAGATCTGCACAAAGGCTCCCTATAAGGGATCAGCTGGGCCCTGAACCTAACAATAGCAGTATTGCAGCATCTCAAAGGAAACATTCTCTTGCATTCCATAAACTCATTATGCCTGAATATTCAATTGATACTCATACATAATTTATGTCGTCGTGTCAAAATCATTTGTTTTTGGAGTGTTCAGGCCCACTAAAGTGGGTTCCAAATCATCAGAAGTAGAGCACATTGCAAACTGTAGCCACAATCAAAATGACTTTTTAAGGGGATTTCCCATTGTCCTCCTGGGATGACACCTTCCCATCTATCAACAGCTGGGTAGATACCGATGGGCTTTCTGATTCATTCAGCGCTCTCCCCAGTGACTGTAAACACATCTGCTTCATCACACAGACTCAGTACATTTCAGTAAGTCCTTACAAGGCAAGCGAAAGTCTCTGCTGTGTGGGATGACTTTCAGCATCACTGATGAAATCTGGGTACTTAAGCGAAATAGTTGTGAGAAGACATCAATCTAAACGCATAACAGCGTCGTCATTCGATCAAACAACGGGAGAACTGCAAGGCAGCCAAGTTTCCTATACAGGACAGACTCAAACGGAATGGTTATGAAGATCCCTCTGCTGTTGTCTAGAAAGGTCAACTAAAGTCCGTGTTAACCAATCAGTTATTTTTCCTTTTGTTACGAGGAAAGTAACTTTAAAGTGTTCCCTGCAGTTTGTTTTGAGGCAGGGTCTTGGCATTCATCCCAGGCTGGATTCAAACGTAGACACGGAATCCCTCCTGCTTCAGTCTCCCCAGGGCCAGGGCTGCATGGAGCCAGGACCACAGCCCTTCCCCTGGATGTAGCCACTTTTCGCTCTGTCTCGGATTTCTTCAACCTCCTTTGCTCTTCCCCCTTTATTGAAAGCAGTATCAAACAATTCTAGAATAAAAGTAGCCCCAGTGGAGACCTGAAGCCTTAAAGCTAAGTGGTTGTAATTTCATACTTTGATTCTACTGACGATGTTTCCCAACATTGCATAAGGAGTGGCTTTGTTTGTCTGTTTTGAGACAGAGCCTTACTACATGGCTCTGAAAGTTCTAGAACTCTATGTAGACCATACTGGCCTCAAACTCATAGCGATCCACTTGCTTTTGCCTTCTGAGTACTGGGATTAAAGGTGTGTGCCATCACGCCTAGATGCTTTGTGTTTTGAGGGTTCTTTTTTCTAGATGTATTTATTTATTTCTATGTGTACTCATGTGTGCTTGTGAGAGTCTATGTGCGTCACGGGTCTGCGGAAACCTAGGAAGACCAGAAGCCAGCATCTGTGTGATGATAAATGCAAAGGAAAAGCACAGTGGGTATCTTTGGCTCGGCCCTGCCCTGGCAGGCCACCAAGCAAACACGCCACATGCAACAGAGTTAGTGCAAGAGGTTTATTGGGGGAGGGGGTGAGCCAAAGGCTGTGTTGGGGGTGGGGACATGAGAGGGGTAGACACACAGACAAAGGAGGAAGAGAAGCAAAGAGAGCAAGCTGTGCCTGGCAGGCAGGTTTGTTTTGTTGTTGTTGTTGTTTTTAATTTTTGGTTTTTTGAAACAGGATTTCTCTGTGTAACAGTCCTGGCTGTCCTGGAACTCCCTTGGTAGACCAGGCTGGCCTTAAACTCAGTGATCTGCCTGCCTCTACCTCTCAAGTGCTGGGATTAAAGGCGTGCCCCACTATCACCCTGCAGCAGACACCTTTAAGGGATATACATGTCGCATAGCCGACAGTGGAAAGGCCACCTGGCAGCAGGTGATGATGGAACTTAACTGCCTTGGCAGAG